CTCCTCTTGCTTGGGGCAGAGCTCCTCCTGCTTGGAGGAGAGCTCCTCTTGCTTGGAGCAGAGCTCCTCCTGGTTGGAGCAGAGCTCCTGTTGATCAACTTTGGCCGCGGGCTCCGACATGCTGCTCCGCGGTCGGGGTGGGAGGAGCGGAGAAAGGGAGAGAAGGGAAGGCGAAGGGGGCGGGCAGGCGGCTTCCCCTTAGGCCACTCACGCCACACGCGCCGGCGCTTGCTAGGCCCGGTCGCTTCCTCCCGGCGCGCTCTCGGTTGCTCTCCCTCCCCCTCGCTCGCGCACGCGCTGTTCTCACGGTCTGACGACGAGGGAGGGGCTTGGGCGGTGTACGGGCCCGGCCGGTGCTTCTGCTTACGGAGGGGGGGCGGCGGCGGACGGTAGCGGCGGCGGGTGGCGGCCGGCTGCGGGCTGCGGGCTGCGGGCTGCTGGCGGTGGGCGGTGGTCGGCTCGGCTCCCTGGCTCGCTCGCGCAGGCGCTGTTGTCACGGCCTGACGACGTGGGAGGGGCTTGGGCGGCGTGCCGGCGCGACCGGGGCTCCTGCTTACGTAGGGGAGGCTGCGGAGGGCGACTGGCGGCTGGGCTCTCTTGCTCACAGCTCGTTCTCACCAGCTACCTCCCCCTCCCCCTCCTCCTCCTCGTCATCGCGAGAATTCCAACCTTTTTTTAAATTTTTCTGCAGTCCCTGGGAGCAAGTTGTAGTCTTTTTTCTTTTTTTCCTTTTGTGCTCAGTCGCCCTGTTTTGAGGTCTCTTTTTCTCTACATCATGGTTCTGAACTTACTTTGGAGGGGGTAAATACCATGAGCAGAATGCAGTGGGAAAAGAATCTATCCATTTCTGTTCCAAATTCATTTTTATCCCTTCCTTTCTCAACAAAAACGGTATGGAATCAAAACCATGGAGCTCTGTGGGAAAAAAGAAAAACCTGTTCTTTTCTCTTTGCTGGAAGCTGGGGGTGGGGGGGCTAGCCCCCTGTGTAGTAGTGCATAGAATTCTAGCCTTTTTCTTCTTTTCTCTGTATATTGGACTCAGAGAGTACACTGTGTTCCTATGTGAATATGGACAGTTAGCATTTACCAACATGCATCTGTCTACTTTTACTTGTTTGAAACAAAAAAGCTTTAAAAAATGGGGTATAAAAGGTCAGCAGAGGGTGGGTTTGCAATGTTTGTGTGTTTTAAGTGGGCATTTTTACAACATGGCTTCTTTGGCATGTTTAATTGTGATGTTTAACGGACATCCTTGCAGTTTAAGATGACACTTTTAAAATAAATTCTTTCCTAATGATGAGTCGAGCCCTGGGAGATTCAGCAGAACCTGTAGGATCTTATTTGGAATTGACATTCTCTATTGTAATTTTGTTACTGTTTAATTTTAAGTTTTTTTTTCACCAAGACCTTGGTGAAAGGCATTGGCAACATTGTAGAAAAGATGATGCTCTGTTTTAAACGTTGAAAGACTACAAGTTGCTTTGTTACAATCAAACTAAATGTGTACACACACAAAAGAATCGTGACACAATAGCTTAGCATTGGTGGACACTGCAAGGGGAGATTGTGAGGTAAATGTTTTAAAGAGTCTTGTGGAATAAACAGTGGTTGATGCTGTGTATTGGGGAATTGAACAGTTGATTTTTATTTAAACAATTTTCTTGGAAAAGGTTTCTGGAACGATAAAGTTACCTGTAAGTTTTATCTTCACAAGCAAGAATTATTCAAAGATAGCGAAATAGCAGAGTGATGTTAGTGAAGCAGGTTGAAAGCAGAAGCCTTGTAAATGCTGACAATAAGCGGTGTGGGTCAGTTTGATGCAGTTCTGACCCACAGCAGGACATGACCCTGACCTGAGTCACTCAGTTTGCAGGGCTTTCAGAAGGGTATTCTTGAGCACTCCTACAGATAGTAGAGTGCACATGAGCTCACCACGTGAACCCATGAACGTTGCTTGTCTTAGAGTTTTCCCCCAAAACAGATCCAGAGGCAAATATTTGGTTGCAGGTGATTTATTTGGGAGGTGATTGTAGGAAGAGCAGCAAGGAAGGTCGATAGTCAAGAGTGCATGAATGAGCTTTTTACCCCTGTAGGCAACGGAGGCTTAATTCCACTGGGGACCTTCTGAAAGGTTTTGGGATATCCCCTTGAAGAATAGTAAGCTGCGCTCATTATCTATCCTGGCACTTCCTTTTTTTTTTTTTGACTGAGACAGAGCCTCAAGCTCTCACCCTGGGTAGAGTGCCCTGGCATCACAGCTCTCACAGCAACCTTCAACTCCTGGGCTTAAGCGATTCTCTTGCCTCAGCCTCCCAAGTAGCTGGAACTACAGGCGCCTGCCACAATGCCTGGCTGTTTTTTGGTTGAAGTTGTTTTGGCAGGCCCAGGCCTGGATTCAAACCTGCCAGCTCTGGTGTATGTGACTGGTGCCTTAGTTGTTTGAGCTACAGGCGCTGGCACTTCCAGTCTGTCCCCAGCTGGGTAAGCACACTCCCTTAGTGGTTCCTGAACATCCTCAGAGGGATTCCATTAGCCAATAAGGGAATTCTCTGTAAATGGCCTTTGGGAAGTTCCCAAGAATATGGGCCGGAAACCTTCAGCATCTTCTACGTAGTTCTTGGTGCCAGCCCCATAGTGGGTGCTTGATATTTATTGGATGAATGAGCAAATTCACACAATTTAAGGACAAGCTTAGTTCTCAGATAGTCTAAACTTGAGGAGGAAGATAGAGTTTCTTAACTGCCTCCTAATTGTAAGGCTGGTCCTCTTTTAATGAAGTTAGCACCTTGCAATGTGATTATGTCCACCTCCTTTGCCCTCTTTTCTCCCTTTATCCCTACCAAGGATGAGAAAAGGGTGAATCACTGATCCCATCAATGGCAAGTCCTTTAGCTTTATGTAGACGAGAAATTAACTTACAAAACACGATGAAGTTCTTAGGTGAGATAGTGGGGGTTGGGTAGTTGGGAGATGGGCTGACATGTCTGTTTTTCTCTTACCAAGTTGTTTTGACATCTTTTGTACCTAGTTTTGGTTCCTTTCTACTCTGAGAGTGATATCTTAACCCAAAAAGGGATGGTTATCTTGGTGAGAATTTCATGGACGGCAGTAGGCCTGTGGGTGATTAGGAGGCTAATTTGTAATAAGTTGGGGGTAGGGAAGTAGGATGTGATTTCTCAAATTACACTGCAAGATCTGCAGTGTGTGAAGACCTTGGTGAAAGGCAGTGCTAACATTGTAGAGAAAGTCTGTTTAGGAAGATATGAGCTAAATATATCTGAGGTGGCTCCACTGGCCAGAGGCACGTCTTCCAGATATATAACAAAACAGAAGTGGGACTATGTAATAAATGACAATGTATCAAGTACCAGCTACATATTAGGCATTGTGCTAATACTATGGTGCTTAGATCCAAACCAATAAAACTGTATTGGTACTGAACTAGGGATTATTGGGTAGTTAATTTGTTTATTTATTATCTGTCACTTTCTTTGGGGAAACCAAATCTCACTGTGATGTGTGTAAAGTAGAAATATTAAAGGATGCTGCTATAGATGGAATGTTTATGTCCCCTCCCCCCATTCATATGTTGAAATCCTAACTCCCAATGTGAAGGTATTATGAGGAGGGGACTTTTGGAGGTGATTAGAGGAGATAATGAGGGTGAAGGTTTCATGAATGACATTAGTGCTTTTATAAGAGACAGCAGTCTGGTGTGGTGGCACACACTTGTAGTCCCAGATACTCAGGAGGCTAAGGCAGGAAAACCACTTGAGCTCAGGAGTTTGAGTACAGCCTGGGCACAACATAGTGAGACCCTGTCTCTATTAAAAAAAAAAAAAAAGAAAGAAAGAAAAAAAAGAGGAGCTATGAGAGCTTGCTCTGTCTCTATCCTCTTAGCATGTGAGGAAACAATGAGATAGGCTGTCTGCAAACTAGGAAGAATCCTTACTAGGCATCAGATCTACCTGCACCTTGATCTTGAACTTTCCGGTCTCTAGAACTATGAGAAATACGTTTGTTTTTTAAACCACTAAGTGTATGATATATTTTTTAATAGCAGCCTGAACTAAGATGTACTTTTCTAAAAAGATGTTAAAACCAGAACTTTTACAGGAATATAAAAGGAAACCATATAAAATATCTTATTTATTTCATTTATTACTAAGGGAACCAGTAAGACATTACAACTAGGTCAAAGGAGAATCAAAAGTACACTCCAGTTAAAAAAAAAAAAAAAACATACCAGGAATGCTTCCATAAATTCAGAAATAGATGCAAAAGTGATATCTGTTCCATTCTACTAACATTCATTTGCATTTCTACAGAGATGAATCATTCACATCATTTTTTCTGCAATTTACAGAGTTGTAAGATAGCTTGAACACATTGAAAGGCACAAGCCCCATAAAATCAGATAACCTGGAAAAGTACACCAGATAGGACACTCAGAAAATAATTTTTTTTGGTCTATTTTAAAGTCTTTTGTAAGTTTTCCTCTCAGAAGTAATGTTTTCTGAGTGGTCCATTAGGAAGCAGAATGTAGATTGCAGATTGGCCAAATCTTTGAATCAGAAGAAAAATAGTTTCTGTGGCAGCATTGCTTGCTACCCAGGAGATGGGTGAAGAGTCATTTGAAACTGCATCATTTAAGTACAAGAGTACTGATCTATATTGGGGAAAGAACAATTGAAGAGAAATTTAATGAAATTTGCCCTAGGAAGAAGAGCAGGATCAATTTCACAGGTATTTCAGTTACAAAATGTTCAGCTACAGATCAAACTATTGAGGGAAAAAAAGGAATTTCAGAAAACATTCTTAATTCAGACTTCCTAATTCAAATTTTATAATGAATTTTAACATGAAGTGGGAGGGAAATCAATTCACCTATTTAAAGTTGCATAGTCAATTTTTTTGTTCGTTTTACAGGATGTAGAACCATGATCACAATATAATTTGAGAATGTTTTCATCCCCCCATTAACAGTCACTCGTTCAGCCCCTACCCCTAGGAAGTCACTGATCTTCGCTCTGGTTTTTGGTTTTTGTTTTCCAGACAGAGTCTCTTTCTGTTGCCCTGAGTAGAGTGCATTGTAGTTCATTGCAGCCTCAAACTTCTAGATTCAAGTGATCCTTCTACCTCAGCCTCCTGAGTAGCTAAGACTACAGGCACCTGGACCATGCCTACCTAAGTTTTTCTATTAAAATTTTTTTTTTCTTGGGTGGCGCCTTTGGCTCAAAGGAGTAGGGCACCAGCCCCATATATCAGAGGTGGCAGGTTCAAATGCAGCCCTGTCCAAAAACTGCAAAAAAAAAAAAAAATTTTTTTTTTTAAACTAAGTCACAACTGTGCACCTTGATGCAT